ATAAAGTGTTTGACGGATTTTCTGTGTGTTTTGCCTCTCTATTGATAACAGATAAGACAAGAGAATGCCGACATTTTGCTTTGACATATATGCGTTTACATTTTGCAGTATTATCCCAAGGTCGGGAGCATACATCAGCCCCAGAGATGAATAAATAGGCTTCTTCTTTGTTATTTATCATTTTGGTTTAAAAGCATTACGCCACCGCCTGCTCCGTCTGTCAGCTCCAAACCCTGAATGACTGTGTGTGATTAGTCTCAGGGAGAGTACTGCAGAAAATCGTCCCAAGTTACTAATGTTTACGTCTTGGCTTTTGCACATTCTGTTTCAAGCTTTAGCTAGGCTTGTTTTTGATCCAGCGAGAAGCCGATAGCAGTGATGCCCCCCCACCAACTCTGGGCCACCTCCCCTCAGTACCAACTTCAATTCAAGATCTGTTTGGCGAGCTATTCAACCACCCGAGTTTTTTCCCCGTCTTTTGAAAACACACCTTGCTGTTGAACGAAGGGCATTTCTATAGAATTGAAGCCTGAGAAAGATTTTCAGAATGGAAATAAGTGGTGCCTTTAAAGGGCTTTTTGAGCCTACAATAGTCCTGATAGACGATGTTCTTGATTATTTTCTCCTTTTATATAGCACAACGGGTCAGTGTGTCTGTAGTAAACTACAATCTACATGACATTAATGATTATCCTGAAATGCTGTATTCTTTTTAATTTTCCTGGAATGAAGTGTTGTCATTGTGCCAGTCCTAAACCCAAATCAATACAGAATTGAGTGTGAGCCCTCAAATTTGGTGATCTCAAAAAAGAACTTCCTTTTCCTTTTTTTTATTTTAACAATTTAGCATATTTAATATTTATGGAGAATTGTGCAGAAAGTATTAATTAGTGACCATTATGACAGTATATTTTCTGCTTTAATGCTGCTTTTACCCACGAACTATAACGCTCATTAAGTTGAGTTGTAATTTGTTAAAATGTCATCACCAATCATTGAAATAGTATGTTTCAATCTAAGAAATCAGTAGCCATTAACTAATTTCACAGTTAAGTAATTTATAATCACCTTGGGGATTTGACAAAGATTATGCGTGTTAGCCTTTACTTGTTGGCTTTGTGTAGAAATCATGTTAAAAACCATTGAGTTAATTATTATGAAAAACATCTATGTGCTCAGTGAGGACTAGATTTATATGCAACAGCATGAATAGCCATTCTCAGCACCCCACTAATTGTTTGATGGATAGTACAGAGCATTTGCATTTATATTGTACCCCATACGCCTCCCACCTATTTAGATCCCATATTTAACTAACTCCTGACACTAGAGCAATGGTCACAGCCGTTTGTTCTTTTAAAACCGAAGTTGTAGTGTGGTTAGCTGCTAGTTATATTGCTAGTTAGCGTGCTTTATACTGTTACAATGGGTTATTGCATTAGTAGTGAAAGGTTAGGTTTCTACATTACCGGGGCCAGTGAGCATGATAGGTCAGAATTAATGACCTACAAAGAAGAAATGATAGTGTCTAAAAGCTGGTTGATATGCCTGGTCACACTTAACGTCACACTTTACAAGTGTCAGAATAAATTTATCTGTTGATATCAACCCCAATATCAGCTCCAACTGTTACAGACACCCCTGCTGATAATTAATTGGTAAATATGTAAACTACATGAATTTCTTGTCAAATATTAGTTTAAAACTGGGGATTGTGCTTTTTCCTCCTCCTAAAACAACCTCATAGTTTCTTTATTCTTGTAATGAGGAAATGTATTTTTTATATAGTATATTGTAAGTGGTACTTTATGACAAAATCAGACCACTGCATGCTGCCTGCAGTAATAAAGTATTTTATTTATCGCAATGATGCCAAAGGGTTTATGGGAGCTAAGAATGAGTAAAATGGATAAAATAGCTACTTCCTCCTTTTGCAAATAGGAAACTGGTAAATGTAGGGAATGGAATGTTGGAGGTTGTTGAAACAACATATTGTAATATGTTACTGAAGTTCATTTTTTTGTGAATATTAATAGAATAGAAATAATTTATGTGAAGTTAATTAAAAATATATACCAGGCCTTTTCTATTAGAGTCAAGGCTCATTAACAGCACGGATCAATGTCAAAATTATTTTGTGCTTTTATTAAAACGTCAGCAACATCAGAAAATGAATTTGAATGAATTTATACTTCCATAATAGCTTTTTTGTTGCTGATTTTCAACTATCACACACATTTATTTTTCCACAAGACAAGAACAGAACTGTCAAGTTTTACATATTTTAAAGACTTTTATTAAAGTAAAAGAAATAATTCTTTGTAAAGCTACTGTAAAGTCTTTGGTGTATTGTCAACATTGATCTGTGTCAAGGGCTTTATCAAGGCTGAGCTCCCACAGTTTTCTTCTGTCTACTCTTTTATAATACACAGTGCTGCTGCATCACCACATTTGATGTCTTCAATTGACAATTATTATTTATTGCTTTCTGCCAACTTGTACCGGCATGAGAGTTGTATAGAAGTATGCAAGGCAAAGCTCCAGTGCATTTGCTCAACACCCACAGACTAACTTGTCTCTCTCAAAGACGCTTGTAGACAATGTATTTGAAAAATGTAGAGTCGGCAATTGTTTTAAAGAGGAATACGGACCATCCATCATTCTTTTGTCTGCCCAGAGAGACCACGATTGATTTTGGATCATTACATAGATATGCTGTTAGCTTCTATTTGGCATTGCTCCGACTGCAACTTCAGCTCTCAACTTTGGCTTTGAAATAGACTGATTGTAATCAGTCGTTTTAAAATCGGCCTAGATTGTTACCTTCAGTATTCCCATTCATTATTGTAGTCTGAATTTCCTATTAGGACTGAAAATCTTCAATAATGAGCTCCTTTCAAACATTTACTACTGTATTGTAATACACTGTTCTGCAGTGTATATTGTATACAAGTTAAGAGATGCTAATTAGATGTATGTTCATTCATACATAATATTTCTGACAGCAACACCCAAGATGCACATGGTTTGAGGACCTACTTTTGCATGTAATATTACCTGTCAGTGTGTCAGTTTGAAAAAGGGTTTCCCATGGCCTCAAAGGTACAGCTCCCTGTCGATAAATAATGAGAGGGTTTGGGGCGAGAGAGAGAGATGGCTGATGCAGCGAGCCCAGTTCTTTGGAAATTAAAAACAATACACCTCATAGAAACTTCTTGAAACTCACAAAGCTCCTTGTTCCCCACTCTCTCACATTTGCATAGTATCAAGGATTTGTGCAGAAGGTAGAAAGTTCGAACTGTGCAGACTGCATGTGAAACGTGGGCAGCAGCTGAAGGGCCCTTGCAGTGCCCCCCCCCCCTACTCACACAAGTGGCAGAGGTCCTACTATTGAGGCCCAAGTCATTAATCACTGCGATCTTTTCAGCTGTCAATACACAAAAAGAGCCCCCCAAACCCAACAATAGTGTCTTCAGTAGTTTTTCTTTCCCTCATCGCAGGGGCAAATATAGTTCACTGGAGATTATTGTTTACGCTTCTGTCCGCCACAAATCTCATACAGTATTCATAAAGAGCTTATCCTGTGCAAAAATCCTTGCCTGGTCAACACAAGCATATTGTTAGTAAATCTAACAGATTTGCTAAAAGCACTTTGCTATCTTCTTTTGTCCTGCTGTGTAAATCACCCATTCACCCATTCTGATGTTGCTCTGCAATACCATTTCCTCTCATTTTATGTCTGACAAAGAAATTTTGATTACATTTAAATGCATATTACAAATCATCCTGTTTAATCTAGGTTTAGCCCTTTTTATATAGACTTGTTTTGGTCCTGTAGTCCTAGTTTAATCCTGGTCTACCTCTAGTTTATTCCAGGTCCGGTCCCACTTGTCATATACCAAAAGGCAAGATAAAATATAATCCTCCATACAGCCACCGGACTCATCACTTCTTTGATCTAATTCTCTTGCTCTACTTGACACTGGCAGTTTTATGATTCCAACTTTAATCATCTCTGCTGCTTTAGTATAGCCCTAGATTTGCTTGGTCTTCACTGTTCAAATGCTGATAGTTTGTAAGCTATAAACAACATATTTCATAAAAGGACAGCTATCACTTTGGCTCTACTGAGGGCCCAGCATTTATGCACAACACATAAAAAGCAATATTTGTGGCAGCGTTGCACTGTAAAGTTTATAGGTGCAGGATTTGTTGTGGTACAGTGGTGGCATATTTCATCAAATCTAATCCTGTCGTTCTTCAAGCGTTCCTGATGTGTACTGAGCCATACACTGCAGCTTGGGAACTTGAAATTTGCATTTTATTTATATCCATCGTTGCTTGGTTAACTTTTAGCCTGATCATATCTGTGTGTTTGGCTCGGAAATAATCAACTTTAATGTAACATGCGCAGGCAGATGGTGGTGCCTTCAGTTAACTATAGTCTATAGGCATTAGACTCATCAGCATGTTCAAGAACTGTGTTTTTCCTCACTAATCTAACAGATTTGAGCTAAACTGATGCACGTTTGGTCTAACCGCATAGCAGACTACACAACTAGATAGAGTTTACCCCAGAGTTTGCGCAACAAGATTTACACTTGGATGTAGTTGTTCTGTAAAGGAGAAACATATGTTGTAGCTGATTACATGCACATTATGAGAAAGTGAGTGAAATGAAACAAGAGATAACTATAACCTGCACTTTTGGAATAATTACTGTAATATAATTTAAAAAAATAAAATTTAAATTCAACTCATGGTGGTCTAGGGCTGCAGCACACTTGCCAGGCTCTGAGCTGGTCTCAGTGTTGTGAGTTTGATTCTTCGCAGTTAGCCGATCTTTTAATAATATTGTCTGTCCAATAAAGCATATACCTGGGCAATTAATCAAATTTAAACTCAAGGAGTCAAAGTCATTTATAATTGTGGAAAAATTTTGAAGAAACAACAATATAAAACCATAAAACTATTCTAAGTTAATTTTGTCTTTTTTGCAGAGTCCCACAAATTGAGGAGGCTGTTGTAAGCTATAGTTGATGCTGATTGAGATCGGAGGCAGCCATGGAAGTGAAGGAACGCCGCCCCTATCGCTCGCTGACGGTGCGGCAGGACACAGAGCGCCGCTATACCAGCTCCTCAGCCGACAGTGAGGATGGCAAGCCCAACGCCAAGTCCTACAGCTCCAGTGAGACTCTCAAGGCCTTCGACCATGACTCGAGGATGGCCTATGGGACTCGGGTCAAAGATGTGGTGCACCATGAAGTCGACGAATTTGGTCGGCCAGGTGAGTTTACAAATTTGAGTCTCTAATTTAGGTATGGAGGTTATATTCCAAAGCTGATTTTATTGCATTTTTATATTTTTTTCTCTATTATGACTCAGTTTGTAGTAAATTTGTATACGTGGGAATAAGGGATGATAGACTGTACTCATAGGAAAATTTGAAATATTTTCTATTTTCTTTTATTCCGAGTGTCCACTATGTCAACATACTATATAAAAACCCAGCTCTCAAATCATTATCAATATTCAATGTTGTCATTGCAACTGCATGTCCTTCTTGTATTGCGGAGCCCTATTCTTGATGTAGATTTGATGGTATGTAAATAAGGTGGTTTCATTACCTCCGCCAAGGAGGTTATGTTTTTTTGCCTGTCTGTTTGATAACTTTTGATTTGTTGGAAATGTGAAAAGGAAGAAATGATTTTCATTTTGGGGTGATCCAGAAGAAATCCTGGATTCTGGATGATCACTTTGAAATTTTAGTTAACATTGTGGTAAATGGGGCCAAAAATTTTTGTTTCTCAGTATCTCGGTTAATTATTGACCAAACCCCATGAAATTTGACTCAGGGATGGACAATGGGATCCTCTTTCATATTCCAAAGGCTGATCTGGATCTGATCCAGAAGACTGATTTTATTGCTATTTATATAAAAAATGGGGGTAGTCCTTGGCGGAGGTCTGCGCTCTCTGAGTGCTTTTCTAGTTTCTACTCTTCTACATAAATCCAGAATATGCAAAAACACCATAATTGCTTTTTAATGAGTAGACTTCTCCATGTTGGATCTATGCAGAGGTCACTCTGTAAACTTCTTATGCCAACTAGTGTTTAAAACTGCATGGGCAACATGCATGTCTTTACCTGCTCCTTCAAATATATTATTGATCGTCACAGCTTAAATCAGATGTGATTGTATTGCTGAGAAAGCTTCTACAGATTCAACAAGCATAGCTGTGTGGCTTCATGCATTTGAGGCAGGAATGTAATTTACATTTTGAGTTATCAATATACAGTGTAAATGTGATTATAGCTCTAGTTGTTTTGTAGTTCGTACAAAAACAAAGAACTAAATATTGCAAAGGGACCAAGTATACTGAAATCTATGTTTTATTTACAATGCGGGGATTGATTGTCTCTTGCCTTGTCAATTCTAAAATAATCTGATCTCAAATTGTGTTTACTACTGATTTAGTTTTATTTACCAAATCAAAAATTTAATACAGATCTTGAGTAACACTATACATGAAACCTGCATGTTTATGTAGCACCTATTACCACCACCACCACAGCTTTCTCTTCATATAAATTTCTATTGAATCATAATATTGTTGTCACCCCTTTCTCAAACAGTTCATTATGAGAAGTGTCACCATTAGAGGCACGTTGGTAGTAATAATTTTGTCTTGGGTCGTTTCAGGGGCAGAGTTTTCCCTGCGAGACCTTGGTTTTGGTGAAGCCCTGCCTTCTCACGTAGCCGCCTACAGGACAGAACTGGGACTGACACATCGAGATTACTCCGTCAGTGTGGGCTCGGACGCAGACACAGAAACAGACGGCATCATGTCCCCAGAGCACGCCGTCAGAATGTGGGGTCGCTCCAACACCAAGTCAGGCCGCAGCTCCTGCCTCTCAAGCCGAGCAAACTCCAACCTCACGCTCACCGACACAGAACACGAGAACACGGAAAATGGTAAGAGATGGATTTAGTTATGTATGTATGTAGGGCTGGGCAATATGGTCCACATTGGCCCATACTGATTTGGATTTTTTCTATTCAAAAACAAAATTAAAATGGCTTTCAGTATTTCATTAACATAAACAATTAATTTTCCTAATCAAAACATTTAACACAAAAAATAGTCAAATTTCTTCCTCCAAAGTCTGAACTCTGCTCCAAATTGCATGGTTTTACTGACAGAGGATTGGCTGCAAACCTAAAAGCACCCAACACCCACATCATTGATAATTAGAGATGACAGAATCTTGATTTTGATTAAAATTTGATTAATTGCCCAGCCCTCATAGTATGTGTTCGAATGGGTTAGATTGTTGAAAGAAGGAAAATATTACATGTTTTGAATAAGAAATTAATGGTGGATTACATTTTATCTTGCCTCTGTGTCCTCTTTATGTTGGTCGCAAGCCTACATTAATGTGGGGGTGAAAGGAAGGGCATCCTGTTTATCAAATAAAAATAGGAAACACTAAACTAACAGAAACTGCATTTTCTGTGGTAATCACAGGAAATTAATCAGATTTGGGTAACAATTAGATTAATGTTCTCATAAGATTTCATTTTATGTGGGCCCTAGTTGAGTCCTGCAGCTTAAAGAAGACATATTATGTCAAAGACTACTTTTATGAGCTTTTAACCATGCTATAATGATAGTCCCTCATCATTAGCTTGCTTTGGACTTGGATTTTGATTGTCATTCAGCTTTTACGGCCCCCGTTTGTGGAACAGTGTACCTGAGGATCTGAGGTCCGCTGCGAGTGTTCACATTTTTGAAAGTAAACTCAAAACTTATCTTTTTAATTTAGGTTTTAATTGAAACTTTTACTTGTTTTATTATTATTATTATTATTATTATTATTATTATTTGTTTTTAATTAAATTACCATTCATATTTTATTTAGTCTCCATCTGTTTTTAGCTCTCCATTTATATATTTACTGTAACCTTTAAGAACTTTATGTTTATGTTTTATTGTTGTATATATACATGAAATAATGGGGTGGGGGTGGTTGCTGTTATTTTTTATATTGTAATTTTTTCTGTTGCATGTGAAGCACTTTGTGCTACATTTCAAATGTATGAAAAGTGATATACAAATAAAGTTTGATTGATTGATTGATTAATTAGACCATTATAGAATGAACAAAGTGTAAAATAATGATAATTTAAAAATGATAGTTAATACTTAATTCCATACAAAAAGCATATTATGTCTTCCTTTAGCTGCAAGCAATAGCATTACAGTTTGGCTTCATTAAATTTACTGCATAGCTACAGATATAGTAATTTAGCAAAAAGGTATCTCATTTGTTTTACCAATGAAGGACCCAACATCTAATACAGTGTTTTTTAATGTATTGAGTGTGTGAACCCTGACCGGAAATGTTCTTGCACTTTTGCTTGTTGGTGACAGCAGTTGCAGAAGTGGGAATACTTACAGTACATATTGGATTTCTTTTCTGTGGCTTTGTATTTCTAATTTAGTCCCGTGGGTCTGCTGAACCTGTGTGTGAGCGCAGAAGGTCGCCATGGCTCCGGGGAAGTGTAAATATGAGCCATGTCAAGTGTTGTGAAATGTCAGAAGATAATAGCTTTCCTGCTGAGGATGATCATTTTTAAATTCCAGATTAGGGGGCCATGATATTACCAAAGTCTTCCTGGAAGTGCAAATGCCATTCGAGCTGTCTCATAATGCTCATTCCCCCATTGCTAAATTCAGTTGCTGTTCATTAATGGCTTTGAGAGAGAGAATACATCCAGTGTAGTGTGGAGAGTTTATTGCATTTTAAAATTACTAGATTCTCTGTGAAATGAGAGATTCTCTTTACAACATAGTTATGTCTATCGGTTTTATGCTTGTTTGTATCATTGGGCTATTTTCTTTGTGTGTTAGTGGAGAAAGTTCAATTGTTTTTCTGCCTTTGTTGTCAGATTTATGTAGTACAGCAAGAACAGTAACTTTGCTTTACATTTCAAAGACTCCCTAAAATAGTTTCAAAGATGCCTTTTCTGTAAAAAAAAAAAAAAAAAAACTTTCACGTGTCTGGCATATACTGCACTTGTTATATAGTTGTGTTTCATTTTGAACAAAGTTAGCCCAAACCTAAATCATGCATATTAACTTTGAGATTTATGATAGTGTTCCCGGGAGACTTCAGAGATAGAGGAACTCATCAAGGGCCTTGCGGCGAGATCCTAATTGCCCCTGCACAGCTTTGGAGAGAACCTTTTGAATAGTTTTGCATTTCAGAGCGTGGCTCATTATGTATTAGCTTCTTATTATAACTGACAGAAATGACTCTTGGAAGTGGATTCCATTTGCCCGAATGACTCAGGCAGGGGACGTGGCATCCCTCTGCTTGATCATCGGAGCTGCCAGGGGATTTAAATTTGGCTGCATTGTACATAATTAAAGAGAATCTCCTCAGATAGCTGTTCATGTTTGCCATGCTCAAATGTACAGAGAGCGGCTGCTGCAGCATTGTGCTACATCTGTGAGACCCAATCCAGATTCTAAGTAGCTTTTTACTCTATTCACCCAAGCAGAAAGTGCACTTGCATCTAGCATTTAATTCAGTCTGATAACATACAATTTATATGTGGCAACTTAATTAAAATCCATGGCGCAGGGTTGCTTGTGTGTGCTTTAATCTCTCTGAATCAACAAACCATTTACTGAACTTTAATGTATTCAAGCCGCGGGCAGCGCTCCCCCTCTTCACATATGACTTACTTGACCCTTGTTTTAATGCATGCAAATAGGCAAAAGTGATTTTCAGAAACAATTTTCTTAATGCTTGCTTTCCAAGGCTGCTCCCCTATATACTGCATGTATAAAGCACCTGCCACTTGTGATGCAGTGAACTGAAATTCATTCCTTGTGTTATTTTATAATTTGTAGTCGTACCTAAAAACTAATTGGAAAGAAGGGTCCGGCCTCATGCACATTTATCAACAGTGACCTACCTTGAAGACATACTATTGTTCACGAATACTAAAATATACTTATGTGCACCCTAATGTTATTTTGTTCACATGGACACTTACATTACTGATAAAGAATGGAAATGGTCTAATTTATACCTTCACTCAACAAAAGAAAATGAGAAACTAATTAGTTATTAGTCTATAACTTATGAAGCTAATTAGTGCGTCTGACAGTTAAAATGACCTCCAGACATTGTGTTTACTTGTTGATGTGAAGGATAGTGCTCGAAGGTTGTACTGGTAGAACAAATTCATATATCATAAAAGATTATCCCTTCAGATATTACTAAATTTATTTTTGTAGGTAAGTAATAACCTGGAGGAAAATCTATGTTTAACAAAAACTGTCCTTGAAAAAAATAGTGTGCGATGAGACATTTGAAGATAGAAAAAATAACATTGGTTCATTTATTCTTATTTTTTTTGAGACTTCATTATTTAGTATGAAAAGAAATGCTGTAATTCATTTTGGAAGAGTAATCCACATACCCCGTTTTGTATCAGAGCATAGGTTGAGTAATTTTGTCCAGCTGCAAAGGGTCTGTTTATGGATGATGTTCGTGTACATGCGCCCTTTGCTTACTGGGACTCGAATCTATTTGTTTTCTATGTACTACTTGTCTTTGTAGTCCTCTGAGACATCCTTGAGGACATTTCCAGAGCTGTCAGCTGCCAAGTCATTCCTCATGTTTTGGAGGCTAAACGTCAGGATGCCAACCTGACCTGCTGCGTTTGGGAGGGCACCATCACTTCTGGATGTTAGCCTATTACTGCTTATCCAGATGTGAGCTCTAATCCCGGCTCTCTCCTGCGGCACAGGCCAGACTATTTTGCTGCTGTAACCATGAGAACTGGCTCGGAGATAGCCAAAGCCTGCTGAGGGACTGTTATTATTCATGGTCCCATAACCTGTGGAGAAAAATAATGTGGCTAAGGCCTACACACTTCCTGTAGTTAGAAAATTACCCATGTGACTGACAGAGGTATTTTTCTGCAAACAAAATGTAATTAGTTCCAGTGGGCGGTTCTTTGTGTACTCATTCTGTTTTTGCTTACTCCATTCTTTTGGTACAGTTTTTTTTATTGATTTAGGAGATACTGTACATAGTATATCTAAAGCTTTGGTTTAAACTAATATGTGCTTCTGCATTTCATCATTCCCATCATGTGATCGTCACAAAAAGGAACTTTATTTTCAGTGATTACTTATCTATGGCTGATTTTTATTATCGTCCTTTTGGATCATTGATAGAAAGCTTTGCCTCTCTGGTATTTCTGCTGCATTATCTCTGCAGCAAAACCTCAGCAAAAAACTCTTGAACCCACAGATATACACAAATAACACAGTTACAGAAGTGGTTCACCTTGCCTTGAAATAAAATGAAGAAATGGTAGTTCTCAAAAATTGTATTTACTCTCCATAACTTGTGCTCTGTTGCTAGCATATTAAAAACAAATTAGTAATTGCTTATTATTAAAATAATATTTAATTAGAAGCCTATAATTATCAGGGTCTCGACACAGAATCGGTTTGAGTTCCAGACCCATGCTATTTCCTCTGAATGAAACACACACTCACTGAGCACAGCCCAAACAGCACTATGAGACACCAGCCTTCTGTCCTGACATTAGCAGTGGATTGTGGCTTGTTTCTTTTGTCTGAGCCTCTCCTGTATGTTCTAATGTGAATGCACTGACAGTTCACACTGTGGGTGTCTGTATTTACTCTGTGACATATTTGCAGTGGAGCAGGGCTTGTCTGCTGTGTCACAGCATTTTTTTAGTCTTCTGGCATTTTGCAGTGAAAAATCAATTATACACACAAACAAGAAAAACTGAGTCAAGATTTTGAGGCTAATTAGTAAAGTCCTATGTGCTGGCTGGCCACGGACAGTGAGTGTGCCGTTAATGATCTTCTGCACATGCTTTTATCCCAGCATGCCACCACCGGTACAATACAAATTCAG